TGAGAACATTTGATGTTAAAGTCAATGGGAAGAAATTATTTCCAAGTTTATTTCCAGAAACTAAACATTCCAAGATATTACCCCCACTGAAAGGCACTATATTAATGCAAGTTTGTGTACCAGATGCTGTATCAAATACAAGAATGATTATACATTGGATCCTCACATCACACTCACTGTTGTGACAATGGAATTTTGCTTTGCCTTTGGATCACACAGTGGCCTCTGGCTCACATTAACCTTCAATAGCCTCAACCTCAAAACTATAATTCAAACTCATCATTGTTTTAATTACAGTTAACTCCTCCTTAATACCATCACTGTGGCTTGTACATCCTGATAGTAGTCTGTTGAGATCAAATTTGCACCTGGATGGTCTGGGTTTAAAACCTGGCAAGTCCACTCAGTCATCATTCTTTGGAGATGATTAAAAAAAAAGCATGATACAGTAAATCTCACATAAACCTTATCTTTATAAATCATAAAATTGCCTAAGTCGTACATTCACCTAAGTGCCATTGAGTTTCCTGTCAAAAACTCTCAGATTCCTTTGCACTACTGTTTTTTTCAGGGGGGTTGAATTATGAAGAGATTTATAATAATATTGCAATATTGGGACGTCTAGAAGACGTGAAAAGCGCTATATCAAATGCAAGGATTATTATTATTATAATAGTAATCCATGCATTTCATGAGGCACGTATACCACCTATTATGTCGAAAATTCTCAAAGCACTTCACAGGTAATTACAGTCAAGAGTATTGTAATGCAGCCTGTGAAGTTGGCTGCGGTGAATACATCGTGGATAGTTTGTCCCGTTTCTATGTTATTAACATTTTAATGAAAATGCACAAAATAACATTTGTACAGCATCTTTCATGTTGGGAGGACGTCCCATGGTGCAGGACAGTCAGGGATTTTGACCCGAGCGGGGGGTTGGTGTCAGGGAGGGTGGAGGGTAGTAGGGTGACCGAAGGCAGAGTTGAAGGAGGGTCTTGAGACATGTCTTGAAGGAGGCAAGGGAGGGAATAAGGCAAAGGATCTGTAGGATTGAGATCCAAAGGGTGGGGGCAGAGAAGCTGAAGGCCCAACTACTGATGGTAGGGCGGGCCAAGTGGGGGATGTGGAGCAGGCCCCTGCCTGATAAGCGGAAGGAGCAGACAGATTGATATGGGGTTAGCAGGTCACAGAGGTTGGAAGGAGCAAGGCCATGGAGGGCGTTAAAAGCGGAACTATCTTCCAGTGGAGCCAGGCGAGGGTGGGAGTGATAGGGTCACGGAGATTGGTGCGGGAGAGGACACGAGCTGCAGAGTTCTGGATTATCTGCAGCTTGTGGAGAGAAGAGTTGGGAAGCACGACAAGCAGGGAGTTGGTGTAGTCAAGCCTAAATATGATGAATGCGTGGATGAGGATTTCGGAGGCCTAAGGGTTGAGGCAGTGGCAGAGCTGGGCGATGTTATAATAATAATAATCCTTGCATTTGATATTGCGCTTTTCACGTTGGGAGGACGTCCCTTAAGCGCTTCACAGAATATACTATAAAGTGAATTGACTGTATATTTGTGGGCAAACGCGGCAGCCAATTGCGCACAGCAATGTCCCACAAACAGTCGTGGATTGAAAATGACCAATTTAATTATTGTTTTTGGTTTTTTTGGAGGGATTATTATTAGGCGTGTGGAGTAAGGAAACTTGCCCAAGGTTTCGCCCTGCCTGGAATTGAACTCAGGTCTCTCGCTTGCAAAGCGAGTGCTCTAACCACTGAGCTACAGGACTCCACATGCTGCAGAGGTGGGGGATGGCAGAGCGGGTCATGGCACAGATGTGGGGTAGAAAGGACAGCTGAGGATCAAACAAAATGCTATGGTTTGGACTGGTTCAGTGAGGTGGAGTGTGCATCAATGGGTGGGGATGCTTCTAGCGAGAGGACCCGGGTTCAATTTCTGGGTGGGGCGAAAATTTCCTTACACAAGCTTCTGTTTGCCAAGCAGTAAGTAGGAACCTAGTTATTAGTCGATTGGTGGATCGCTTTCCAGCGGTAATAATCCCTTCATAAAAATAATAATTTGGTCACTCAATCCATGACTGTTTGTGGGACACTATTGTGTGCAATTGGCGACTGCGTTTCACCCACAAAATATACAGTCAATCATTTTACAATATATTCTGTGAAGAGCTTTGAGATGTCTCAACGACGTGATAAGGTGCTATATGTAATGCCAGGATTATTATTACAAATAAAGTGGCTGAAATGTTGAATCATCTGCCATAAATTATTGCTGAAGCAAATTCCATCAATTATATTAAAAGGGAGTTAGACAGATGCTTCAATAGTAATTTTGCAGGGTATGAGGAGGGAGCAGAAAAGCGATTAGAAAAGCCAGCTCATATGGAGAAAAATACCAGAGCAGAATTGATGGGCTGAACGTCTTATTTCTCTGCTGTAACATTCTATGGGGTGGGGGAATAGGAAAGGAGGCAAAATTAAGTTATACAATGTGATAGGTACTGGATAAAGCCATTGTACCTATCCTAACAATTGGTTTGGGTCTGAATTCCCCACCCCACCCACATTCAGAGAATGATTTCTCTCTTCAGCTGATTCAGTATTGGATTGCTGATGTTTTTTTAATCCTAGCTGCAGGAAGAGCTTTTTAACCCTTCTTAACTTCAGCTTTTCCCGTTTTAGATTTTATTAGGCCACCATCTGGCAATGAAATGCAAAGTGCAGGGCCTTTCCCCAGCCCCAATTTACGATTTTCCCGATAGGCCATGTTTAACCCATTCTATCCCTCTTCCGAATGTCACATCATGAGAGACCAGCATGAAATAAGGAAACTTGCCCATTAGCAGCTGGGGGGAGGGTCCTTGATGTTGTATTAAAGATTCCTTAGGTTCAGCAATTCAGGCACTATTAAAGCATTCATAGTGTCAGCAAAACTCTTCTGAAATGTACAACATATATTATATTGGAAAATGAGATGATCTGTGTGATTTGTATTCAAATGTTTGGCAGCATTGCAATGAGACTCAAACACAATGGATTCTAGATAGTTTTCTGAAGAGCATGGTTAGATCAACCAGAAATTGGGATTTTATACTAAGATTTCAAAACAACTGGTCCAGCAACAAAGGGGTCAAAATGGCAAAGTGTGATGTGTTAACGTGTCGATAAACACATTCAAATGAGGCCAGCGGGTAACAAGATGACAGTGGGTGACAGTGTTGGGATTTGGACTTCATGATCATGACATTGGCGGGAAACTGGATTAACTTACTTTTGTGTTACACACAGTTCCCTAGAGTAACGTGGTATGGAAACAGACCATTCAATCCAACCAGTCGCAAGGAGGTTTATACTACACAAAAACTGCTCTTCCTCCTATTTTGCTCTCCTATATCGCTTATTCCCTTCTCTCTCATATATGCATTATTTTCTCTTAAATACACTGATCATATTTGCTTCAACTACAGCAATGAGTTCCACATACCCACAACTTGCTGCATGAAGAGGTTCCTCTAAAACTCCTATTAGATCTACAACAGGTAATCCACAGGGGACCATACAAGGCTGGGAGGAGAAACTGTTGGAGGGCAACAAAGTGGAGGATGGGTTAAGTAAGATTGGAATCAGGAGAGTGCTGTTTTACGTTGGTGGTGATGAAGGAGGATGTGGTGATTGGGAAGGATGGAGTGGTCCACAGTAAAAAAAAATACAGCAGAGATGACAAGGAGGCAGAGTGAGCCCTGGTCGCAGAGAGACACTTGGTGACTTTGACAAAGGCTACCTTAGTGCTGTGAATACTGCCATGATGCTGTCAGCAGAGATCTTTCGATTATGTTGCATACTAACACTAACTTTAGTTCTGCTCCATACTAACACTATGTTTGGTTCTTCTCTATACTAACACAAACCTTTGGTTCTACTCTATACTAATACTATCTTTGATTATGCTCCATACTAACACTATCTTTGGTTTGTCCTCCCGACGTGAAAGGCGCTATACAAATGTTATCTTGTTATTGTATCTTTTGTTCTTCTCCACACAATCTTTGACATAAATGCCCGATGGAGTTCTGTTGCACAGCTTCAATATTTCAGTGAAAGACGCACACTCATAAAACACACGTTATAAAAGAAAACATTCCTGTTTAAAAAGCATTATTTTGCCAGTTTTAAGTTAATCCCGGTGGTAAATAAGCATTCCTCAGCTGAGAAGGAGAAAAGCAAACTGCAGCCCAGACTCTTGAGTAGTCGAGTACAATGCAGTTGTTTCCCCAGGGGGAGGGGGGGGAAGGAGGCGGAACTGACACAAACACCTCCTCTGAACAACACTGCCACGTATAAGTGGACACAAACAAAAGTATTCCCTTTTAACCTTATTTAATAAAAATCATTCTGGAAGCATTTTCTTCAGAAATGTGGCCTGTGTTTTAGGAGAGTGCGTCTTTTCCTGAAATACGGACACAGTGTGAATTAGCGCTTCATCTTGGCATTCATGGTATTTACAGATGCTGTTTGTGCAGAACAGATCCACAAGATCTCATGGTCCTATCTTCAAATCTCACATAAAACAGAAGCCGTCATGCTAATGGCAATCCATATCTAACATGTCTCAGCAACAAATGTTTTGTATCTGCTGACCTTTCATTAAAAAATATTAAATTAACTAAATTCCACATCCTGGCATGCAAATAAAAGCACTCAAATTTCTGAGCGTTTATGTAAACTATTAAGTTCAAATGCTTGTCTCTTTTGCACGTGGAATGCATTCCAGTAACAAAATAATTGGGGGTTATGTGAACAAATGTCTTTTTAACCATAAAATTTGTGACCTATCATATAGAACACAGAACTTTTTTTATAGCAGTACTGAAACTTTTATCTGTACAAATGAGTCTGATGGGTTACATAACTCAGAAAAATATAGTACTGTCAATCCACAGTCTGTTTTTTTATATACCATCAGAAAATATTGAGTCATGCTCATCTACTCACCACGATCAAAAGCCATTTTAACATCTTCTACATGCTCGGTAAATCCTGATAATCTGTATAGCCCCTCTGATTTCATACCTGTTAAATAAACAGAAGATGGTTACTCATTAATTAATACAAAAATACAGTCACACCAATTTAGAGTAAAAATCCTGTGAAGCCCTTTGAGATATCCACCTGACTTGAAAGGCGTTATACGAAATGTAAGGATTATTATTTTATTATATTACTATTATTACTATTATTATTATGTGTGCCTTTACATTTGATATAGCTCCTTTCATGTCAGGAGGATGTCTCAAAGCGCTTCACAGGATATACTGTAAAGGGCAGTTATTGTGTTTTGTGGGCAAACGTGGCAGACAATGTGCACACAGCAATGTCCCACAAACAGCCATGGAGTGAGTGACCAACTTGATTTGGGGGGGTTGTTGGCCAGGACACAAGGAGAAACTCTCTTCACTTTTTGAATAGTGCTATGGGATCTTTAACCTGAACGGGCAGACAGCACCTCAGTTTAACGTTTAATCTGAAGGACGGCACCTCCGACAGGTATTATCCACATTGAACAGCAGTCGATTGGTTTCAGCAGCAGTTTTCCACTTTTTCAAAGTGATAATTGTCATTTGTGATAATATCATCCATTGCATTTTCACTCCTGATTGATATCAAATGATGATAATGTGCAGTGCTTCATATTATCATCATCATCCTTCTTATCGATTATTATGTTTTATTATTATTTAAGCCTCAGAGCATTACGGTATTATTTTGTAAATTTCTACAAAATAAATTGAATGTGAAACATGAAAGAGAATAAAATTAAAAAGCACCTTTCTCCCGGTAAATATAACAATAAGGAGATGACAAAAGATAAGACATGCTGTTTTTACTGCAAATTTTGACATTTTTTTAAAAACAAACTGCTGCAGAACACTCTTAAATATGGTGATGGGTTCTCTCAAATGTTCCCTGGCTGACATTTTTTTTTAAACCCTCAAAACTTCCGTCCTGAGGTAAATTTTTAATGCTAAAATATTCACAAGAGCATTTAAGAGGTTTGTGACATGATTGCAGCAGGTGTAGCAAGAAATAATCACCAGATTACAGGGGAATTATACCTAGAGTAAGATTAAGGAATATTACTTTTTGTAGACAAGGTAAAGAAGACAGGAAATGAAGGCTAGAAAGAAAAGTATTACGATTAATAATAATAATAATCCTTGCATTTGATTATATCCTCAATACCGTGTGACAGCATTTTTTCATACATTTATAATTAACACAATGGATACATTTATCCTATAGTCTGGAATACAAAGGAACTGGCAGCAAGAATAAACTTCATTGGTGTCACATGGCCTCTGCACTATCGATCGCTCCAAGCGATCAGCTGTGTTCAGCTGTACTTTGGTTCAACAATAACAATTCTTGGTTCAAGGCTTTATATTTCAGAGCAAACACTAAGGATTGTGTTTGGGCATTCAATGATATTGAAGGTGAGATTTTAGTTATTTATTTTTTCACAGCTCATTTAATATCACTCAGATTTCCAAGCATGAACACAATGAAAAGATTGGGGCAACACAAAATACTGGTTCTACAGCACATAAGGTCATTATCAGAGCTTGGTGAAGAATATGCACAAACCTCTTGCTTCAATTTCTTGAATGCACATATCCACTACCATAGGTCTCTGCATGTTGTGTGCTTTTACCAGCGTCGTCAAGTCACAGCAGTAAACTTTCTTGATCCTCTTTAGGTCTGGTTGACAGTCATTGGGCACAACTTTTGAGCACTGTTTATGTACATTCAGCCCACAGTCTGGAGAAGAAGAAATGGCAGTGTGAGTAAATTGCACATGGCCTCGGCACCATCAATCACTGAGTGCACACTTTCTCCCAGTCTTGGAACTGGGTTATAATAATAATAAGCCTTGCATTTGATATAGCACCTTATTACGTCTTTTTGAGACGTCCCAAAATGCTTCACAGAATATACTGTAAAGTGAATTGACTGTATAACGAAACGCAGCAGCCAATTGCATACAGCAGTGACCATGGATTGAAGTGATCAATTAATTATTATTATTTGCTTTGCAAGGAATTATTACCCCCGGAAAAGCGATCTGCAATCGGCTAACAACCGGGTTCCTACTTACTGCTAGATAAACAGAGGCATATGGAGTAAGGAAACTTGCCCAATATTTCGCCTTGCTGGGTTCAGCTGTGCTTTGGTTCAACAGACAGAATTCTGTACCAGATTTATCGAGAAACTAATCGCAGTATGGATTATTAGTTCACCTAATGGTGGCCTGCGTAATGCCCACTGCCTGATCTTCTCCACCATCGGTGGGCGAGTTTTCAGCTATTCTACCCCTGCTCTGGATCGTCATTCTGGATTTATTTATTTAAGAAACAGCTTGCTCAATGCAATAAGGGGAGGATGGTGGGGAAGAATCTTCTTTATCTGTACCTCTTTCAAACTACCACCCCATCTCCAACCTCCCTTTCCTCTCCTAGATCCTGGAATGAGTCAATACATCGTAGCTTCGCTCCTTCCTCTCTCGCCACTCCTTTCACAAACAACTCCAATCGGGTTTCTGTGCCGCCCACAGCACAAAAATAGCTCTGATCAAAGTGATAAATGACATTCTGTCCATCTGTGGCCTGGGCTCCCTCTGCTGCTTTTGACACCATTGACAACTTTATCCTCATCCACCGCATCTCCTCTTACCTCAACCTTCACGGTTCTGTCCTTGAATGGTTCAGGTCATACCTCTCACACTGCCTGCACTTCATCTCCACAAACGGCTTCTCCTCTAGCCCCTGCACCGTCTCATGCGGAATTCCTCACAGCTCCGTCCTTGTCCTCTCCTCTTCAATATTTATATGCTTCCTCTTAGTGACATCATCTGCAGACATGGGGTCAACTTCCACATGTATGCAGATGACACCCAACTGCACCTCTTTGCCTCCACGACCACTGCTGTGCTGACAGAATGTCTGTCAGACATCAAGTCCTGGATGAGAGCTAACTTTCTTCAGTTGAAAGTCAACAAGGCTGAGACTCCTATTTGGCTCCTACTTGCAACCATGGACGGTGATGCTGTCAGCGCCTCCAGGCGCCGACAGCATCACCGTCCATGGTTGCATACTCCACCTTACTTAGCCAGCCCGGAACCTTGGCGTCTTGTTTTGACTCTCAACTATCCTTCCTACCCCACATCCGTGCCATGACCCATTCTGCCTTCCCCCACCTCTGCAACATCACCCAGCTCTGCGACTGTCTCACAACGCAGGCCAAATCCTCATATATGCATTCATAACATCGAGGCTTGACTATACAAACTCACTGATTGTCGGTCTCCCCAACTCTTCCCTTCATAGGCTGCAGATCATCTGCAACCCGTGTCCTCTCACGCACCAGGCTCTGCGACCCTATCACCCCCATCCTTGCCCGACTCCACTGGCTTCCAATCACACAAAGGATACAGTTCAAGATCCAGGTCCCCAGCTTCAAAGCCCTCCATGGTCTTGCTCCCCCCACCTCTGTGACCTTCTAACCCCTTGCCAAACTGCCCACTCCCTCTGCTTAGGGGACTCTGGTCTGCTTCATGTCTCCCTTCCTCGCTCGTCCCACTATTGGCGGGCAGGCCTTCTGCCACTCTGCCCCCACCTCTAGAATTCCATCCCGCAGTCCCTTCGTCTCGCCCCCTCCCTTTCCTCCTTCAAGACCCATCTCAAGACCCTCCTCTTCGACTGTGTTCTCAATCACCCTGCTTCCCCCACTGCCCTTCACCTTCCCCAATCCCGACCCCCAGCTCGGGTTCAAAACACTGACTGTCCAGCGCTTTGGGACGTCCTCCCGACATGAAAGGCACTATACAAATGTAATTTTGTGGCTGTTGTTGCTGTTGCAGCACAATAAGGGGTAAATATGCCCAGAACTGCAATTTATACACCAGCAGGTTTTACGTTGCCTCTCTGATCTTTCAGTTTCAAACCTCTCCAAGTGGTAATAAGGGCTGCTGTAACTCACGTTGTTTCAGTACAGTTCTAGCATAGTTCTAGTTCAAGTGCTCCGGGAGGCTACCCTGCATGAGTGGCACTATATAAATGCAAGTTGTTGTTGTTGTAGTATTTTCATGCTTAGAGTTGTAAGGCAGTTCTTAGTTATTAAGGTGTGAATTCACTCATAGTGTTGTGCCTGAGTAGTTTCCTCACCTTCCAAAGTGGTGCTTTCCCCAGAATAGATCATAATTACTGTAAAAGGTAAGATCTCACCTGTGTTGTTAATGTCACCCTTGTGGCTCAGTTCCAAACCAACTGGTATTTATAAATGTTTATAAATGCATTTCACAGGGTATTGAGGAGCATATGATATTGGCAAGCCACTTGCTTCGTGCCATGGAATTTTGTTTTGAAAAATGGAAATATTGTCAGTGTTTATTTCATTTGTTTGTAGCTTATACTACAGCAATAAACCTGCGTCTTAGATCTGTGTACGTTAGTGTTACCATGTTTGTTTCAGTGTGTATGCTCAGAAGTTGAATAAACAGCTTTCTTGGATCTTCAAGCAGACTAAAGACAATATTATGTTACAATGTTTGACACGAGCAAACTGATTGTTACATGTGAATTAAGTCACTATAAGCAGTAGATTAACACATTAATGCATCTAGATCGCATTGCAAAAAGCTGAACATTACAGTTAATGATCCATAGTGTCGGAAGGATGAACCATGAAGATTGATTGAATAAGCTCGGCTCTTCAGTCTTGAAAAGAGATATCTCACAAAGGGACTTTATAGAAGTATATAAAGTATATGCTAAATGGGATTCACAAAATAAGCCTGAAAAATTGTTTTCAGCTTTGCTAAGGCAGTAGGACAAAACTTCAGGGTTCTGAAGTGCAATTTGAGGACTGAAGTATTTCTTTACCCTGGCAGTAATTAACGACTGGAACAGGTTACCAAGAAAGGGGATTGAAGCCAGGGTACTGGACTCATTTAACACTATCAATCTGGCTTGGTTCACAGCATCTTTGCCTCTGTCAGAACGTTGTGGGTCCAAGCCCCACATGGGGATTTGAGTTCCTAGTCCAGGCTGACACTCCAGTGCAGTACAACGCACATTGTCTGGCGTTGCTGCCAGATGAAACATTAAACAGATGTCCAATTTGCCTGGTTGTGTGGACGTTAAAGATCCCATGATACTATTTGAAAAGAGAAATGGTGGCTAACTATTTCCCAGATAAATTGGTCATTCATTTCATGGCGGTTTGTGGACCCTTGATGTGGAAAAATTGGTTGCTACATTTGCTACAAATACACAGTTATTCAAGAAACAGCCTGAGGCTGTAACAGGAAAATGGAGCTGTTGAAATCAATTGAGCCAAAGGGACTCCAACCAAATCTCTACTGAACTTAAGGTTAACTAAACTAAATAGATAATTGTAAAATAAGGCTGTGGCATAAATCAAGTTGACTTCTACATCTCACTTATAGTGTAGTTGTAATTTCCATGTTAGGAAAATACAAGGTTGCAGACAAGGGCAAAATCTCACTTATGTTGTTGATGTCATCTTTGTGATTCAGCCTCAAAAACAAAAGTAACCCAAAAACAAGACAAGAGGCATAGAACAAATTCTACAGTGCTCATGTTTGTGAGCAGTGATCTATGACTTTTCTGAAAACTTGCAGCACGCTAACTTTTTGTTTGGCTCATTTCTGCATCAAAAATGAGTAATGGTGAAATCAAGCATTTTTATTTCTTAAACTTTCATCAGATATCAATAATGTTTTGTTGAGTGTCAAGCTCTGCCACTGTTAAGTGATTTGAGATGCTACCCCATGTGCAGGGCATTATATAAATGCGAGTTATTATTTTACTTTTTAGGGGAATTTTTTGATTTTTTACTCTTTTTTACAGCCACAAAAATGGCTAACACATTCGCCACAGATGTCACTTCCTAAGCACAGTGCACATGCGTATCATGTCTCCCTGCCCTACTTGGCCCACCATCTGTGATCAGGCTTTCCGCCTATCTGCCCCCAATCTCTGGAACTCCAGCCCTCCCTCCGACTCACTCGCTCCCTCCCTCACCTCTTTCAAGGTCCATTGCAAATTGTTCCTCTTTGACTCAGCCTTCGGTAATCTTTCCCCTCCCAACCCCTCGGCCCCCACTCCAGCTCAGGTACTAAGTCAAGACTGTCAACAGAAACCTCTCAACACAAAAGGTGCTATTTAATGTAAATTTATATTGTATTGTAGTTCAAAATGATAAAAATGATGTTCAACGATTGGACATAATTTCCCTTGATTTGGAGCAATAGAAAAATTGAACAAGTACCAATTTTTAACAATTAAGATTGAAATTCAGTAAGCCAAAAACTAAATAACTCTCACTTATCATGTTCGTTGGATTACACATTAAAATGTAATTTGAGCTGAGTTTTCCCCTGGGATGGAAAGCACTTGGAAAGACTGATTAACAGAACCCTCCATAGGGAAATGCAAAGAACGCTGAATGAAAATGAGTAGAGAAATTAATGCATATAGCACAATTATATACCTTATAAAATGCATATCCTTTCTCATAAATTCTAATTTGTCAAGTAATATGTGGATTGAAAGTTCAATAAACAGGGATTGAATCAGACGTGTATTGTCAATAAAAGTGGTTCAAAAAGAAATGGACAAACCAAAATACTAACGCTTATTTTCAATCCTGAAAAAGCATTTGCGTATTTTAGTTTTCAGGAAAAAGTTGAGAATTTAACATGTACAAAATGCTTCTATAACTTTTCCGATCTTTTGCAG